ATTTTTGTGTGCTGCTAAGTAAAAATAAAACAAAACAAGACAGATATACTTCGTAAGAGAAATTAAATTCTGATAGCTAAAAAAATGGTTTACCGGAAAGGGAGGAGGAAATTGGAACGGAAGAGACTATTACCGTTTGCTAAAAGGACCGGATAGGAAAGACATTAAAGCTAACGAAGAATTGATGCATCTTTGGATTCCATTATCCATTCCCAATGAGAAATTAACATCGTGAAAAAAAATTAAATTAGCAATCATCTACGCTGAATATTTAAAGGTATTAATAATGCACAAATATAAATTTACAGGATAAAATTTGAGTTTAAAAATTTTCTAATTTCTATTAAAGTCTTTAATCACATGGTTTATAATTATTTGTTTGGGAAGAGCTCTTGAAATGATATGTCGAAGAAATGATGGAAATATCGTTTATGCATTCGCATAGAATTATAAACATGCGATATAGCAAATATATGATATTAATTAATTAAATTGAAACTTACTTTTTTTTCGAGACAGATTTATTTTTATGTTTTCAGAAATGAAATTAAAATTCTTATATTTCATTGAAATTGCAAAAGTATGCATATTTAGCATTAAATCAATTCTTCGATTACTAACTGTTGCAATTTCATTTGAAATACAAATAAACTTATTTGTGCTGTCATTTGAGTTAAATTAAAAATTCATTCAACCATTCTTTCATTATCATTTGCAAATGGAAATAGTGTATAATAAACAATGAGAGAGATTTGTGTAGAGAAAAAAGTGTACTCAAAACACATTTGAAATTATTTATTAAATAGCTCCGATCAATTTCATTATTTTATACCAATTGTTATTGAATGCTAATCGAACTAAAAAATTTTGGACAGAATTATATTTGTGACAAACGTTCCACCACTCAAATACATTCATTCATTCATTCATTAACAATAGCTTTGTCTAAATGGGCGCTATTGTGCTTTTTACTTTAACATCCCTTTCATTTTACTATCTGCATTTTATTTTACAACTTTGTTTTATCCCAAGCGATATCTCTTCCTTATCATTTTTATCAGTAGTTGGTGAACGACATAAATAAGGAAAATAATTTCGCTTTATAGCAATATGGACATAAATCTTTACGACATAAGCTATACAAGTGATATCATTTCCAATTCTACTACTACAACTACTATTTTCAATCTTATTAGTTTCATCTTCAACGTAAGTCTATAAATAATGGTGGGATAAGAGCAATATTGATAACGATAACAAATAGTAATAGTAATAGGAATGCTAAAAAAACCTAATGATCCAGCTGTAACAGTATTTTTTACAATGATGTAAAATAGGATAGCATTGCGCAAATATAATAGTAATTATTTGATTAAGCAACAATTTCATTAATATTCCTAATTAATTTTTCAAGATTACAGTACGTTTTTTTTTTCTTGTGATGTAAACGAAACACAAATAAATTTCTAATTGTCAACAATGGAATGAAATGATTAAATAGCACTTAACTGTAATCTTCCCATTTTACAAAGTTTGTCTTTCTACTTTGTTGTAAAGAAAGGCTCTTTCATTAAATGTTACCAGTTATGATTGTAAATTAGGGATGTTTTTTGAAAGAATAAACTGCCATTGCATTTGAATCATTCGATCGACCGATCAACACTCGACGGACTACCCGATCGATCAAGTGACCACTTGAGCCTTCTCATATGAAGCACAGTTGAATGAAAGTAATGATAATTGTGTATATGAAGAGCGAAGAAATTGCAAAAATTGGTGAAGTGTATGAGAAGAGGATTATGAGTGAGAATTAGGATGGGTGAAGAAAGCCTAGGATGAAGAAGGCCTAGGATCGATGTTGTTGCAGCGGTATGCCTTAAACAGATTGTATATTTAAAGTACATTCATTTTCGTGTTTATTAGCAGTCAATTTTAAACATTCAAAAATGAGAATATGTGGTGCGACACGAAAGCTGTTTGAGTTGGTAAATTTGGTTGCAAAAAAAATATCAAAAATAATTTTGTTTTAAAATCATTCAAGTGGTAGAAGTACTTGAGTGTTTTCAAAATGAAGTAATTGGAAGTTGGAGCTATTGATTGATGATAGTTTATTCACAATTTATTTTCTTCTTGAAGCTATTATATGCTATATGGAAAAATTTGAAAGCTTCAAATTAAATTATTCAAATCACACTAAATTACATTATTGAAAAAAGTTAAAAAGAGAAGAGCACTGAAATCACAAATAAAGAAATGAAATATGGCATACAAAATATGTATGGAGAAATCATGCAATATACTACGTTAGTTTACTCTTCTTTTAAAAATAGTTTTAGGATTATTAATGAAATTTGATGGAACTTAAAATGGCATGAAGTATAATGTAAGGTAAACTGTTTCTTCGCTTCAAATTTTAAATTCAAATTCATTCCTTCAGCACAGGTCAAGTCATCCTATCATATAATATTAAAAGCAAATCATTTGATTTACTCATAACTAATCTTTTTTGTTATTAAATATGAAGGCCTATTTATTCTATTTATACTTAAATTTACACAAACTCTAATTCTTTTACAAAGTCGAAATTTTCAAATAATAAATAATTAAGTTAAAATAAACGTTTGTTTTAATTAAAGCTTAATTTCAACAAATAAAAGCTTACAATAAATTTTATTGCAATTTTTATTACTTTCACTTTATCTTTCATATTTCTTATAAATGCATAATTTCATTTATTTGAATTCAATTAACTTTAATTAAAATAAAAATTTTCATTTAAATTTTTGGAAATTAAACCAAAAAAGAAATAAATAAAAATGAAATTTAATGCAAAGTATGCGAATCTTTGAAAAAAATATCGAATTTTATTCGGTTATAATAATAAACAAATGAATCACTCAATTTTCTCGGGGGAATGAATTCAATCAATTCAATGCAATAACGAAAACAAACTTTTGATCTTCTTCTCGGTGATATTATTGAGATGTATAATTTATCACTATCACTATCACTAATCTATCTATCTATTACTCTTCAAAATTTTCATTCCTCATACTGATTCTTCTTTTAATCTTAAAAGAACAATTAACCTAAACAATTTCAACGAAATCATTGATAATCAATCACATTTCAAAGCAGATATTACCATTTTCATATCTTTTTCAGTTTTCATATCTTTCCTATCATAATTTCAATCTTTTGGGTTTTTCTTTTTTTGTGAAATGGAAAATAATGAAACAAAAGAATTGTTAACAACGTATTTGTTTTATCATTGAAAATGAGAATGGATGAAATATACTTTAAAAATTTTGAAAAATTGATTAATTAATGACTTCGTTGAGCGTTGCATTGATTATAATAACATTTGTGCTTCATAGCAATAAGCTTTAATCGCTTCAATTAATGATTGCTTAATCTCTCAACAAATGTATTAGTATTTGTTAAATAATCATAGATATTCTTTGCACAAAAAATTATTACAATAAAATGTATTGATTTTTTTTCAGAATAAATTATTATTAACTCATAATTTCTTTTTTCACCATTTCTAATTACTATAATTGCAAATAATGAAAGTTAATTTAATTTACTGCTTAAATCGATTAGTTGGCTAAGTTTTAAAAAATTAATTGATTTAGTAAAAGGCAAAAAAAGCTCATTGTAATATTTTGGAAGTCAAAAAAACTTTTTTTAGAAAAAATGATAATTTAAATATTTCAAAATATTGACAGACTTTTTCAAATTTGAAAAAGCTATTTTACAATATTTACAATTAACTTTTCCTGGATGAACAATTGACAAATATGGGATATTGTAATCGAATGAATCGATGAGATTGATGAGCTTAACTAACGTTAATTGCCAGTCTTCTTTCCCTCCCTTTCTTAGCCTGAAAAATATAAAACAAATTAAGGCACAGCCAATGTATATTCTTAAGGCATTATATCAGCATGCTAAATCATTTCTATGGAATTTAGAGATATTTTTAGTTGCCTTAAGGCCTATTTCCATTCATTTCATGTGCTAATAATTCTTGGAGAAATCAATAAATAATAAAATATAAATTGATTTTTTCCTACATATTTCATTACAACAGTGGAAATACCATGAAATATGATTTCCTAATATGCTTGTTTATTTTCGATTTGTCTTTTATTCATGCTTTCTGGAAGATACAATAGCTCTCATATGTGCGGGGGAACATTTTTCACCGGATATCAGCTACTTAACAAAAGCCTTTTACTTCACGGTAGTTGTAAAAAGAGCAAATAAATTTAGAATAAAAATTCTATGTAAGTTGAAAAGTTAAGTAAATGGACGATGGAGCGACTAATTAGGGAAGTCACTGCACATATTTTATTCATTTGCAATAATTACACAACAAAAAAAAAGACAAATAGCATTAATTACAGCAACAATGAGATCGCAATGTAAAATGTGATGAAATATTCAAATTTACAACAAATAATCAAAAATTTCGAAGGTTAGTTAGAAATTGAAATTATTCTGCTAAATGGCATATTCGATCAGTTAATTTCAAAGCATAAAAAAACAAACGATAAACATAAACAATGAACGATAAATATGAAATGGAAGATTTAATAGCCGGAAACTATGCTATTTTCATCTGACACAAGTAGGATGTACTTGCTGAAACATATGTAAATAATTGAAATTTTCTTATTTTCAAGTAGTTAACAATTAAATTTAGATAAATTAAAAAATTCAAGAATGATTATCTAATTCATATAAATTAGATTTTAAAAAATGAATGTCAATAAGAGAATAAGAAATGAAGTAATGAGTTGGCATGCATATATTAAATTGATGAGATAATGCAAGCATTAATCGATAAGAGTTTACTTTATTTTATCATTTCTTCAAAAATTAATTCAACAAAAGTATTAAACGAGAATTTTCTTTTCAATTACTTTTCATTCATACAAATACTTTCATTTATTTTATGAATTTAATTTTCAAAAAATAAAAATAGCTGTCAATTAATTATGGAATTGTTGCACTTGTTTGACAATCAAATCAGCAATTTGTTTATGAGCTTCCTCAATGGGATGAAATGCTCCGAAACTATTGCCTTGTAATTGAATTGAGTCTCGTATGCTTCTAAAATTTAATTCATTGTCTTACATTATGGAGTAATTCCTCTACAAATTTAATATATTTGAATGCAAAAATTAAAATGAACACAATTATTTCTATATCATATAAAATTTCAAATTAAGCTTCCTCAATTTTTTGGAAAAATTTTTATTTACACTGAAAGTAGCTTATGAATATTTCGTTGTTTTCAGATTAAATTTAAATAAGTTCAAACAAGCTAAAATAATAAGCTATTTGTTAATGAAAATGTCTAATGTGAAATTACTCACTTCTAAGATAGTAATGTTACAGGTAAAAATGAAAGTTAACTATTTTGGATGAAATATTATTAGTAGAATTATTTCACTATTATCACTACAGAAATATAAATGAATAATCATTAATGGGATCTGGATTGATTAAACTAAATTTACCTAATGAGTGAATTAGATGAACAACAACCGCGTGACCGGAATAATTCGGCCACACCTTCAATTGCTGTCCAACCGTATTGCTTAGATTTTTTCGTTATCAATCCATTAATTCGTTGTAAAATTTTTTTCTCTGCCAATATCAAATTTTCGGTGCTTATCTGTAAGTGTGAATTATGTATGTATTTTCACAATAAATTTAAAATTAAAAACAGGAAATGTTTAACCGGTTTTTCTTTTAAAAAAAATTCGAAATACAAATACGTGGAATAGAAAAAGAATTACACGGAAATTTCACGTTATTTAACGTCACATTAATGGATATCCCTTATACGTATTGTAGTAAAGATTTAGAATTATTTCAGAATAATACATCCTATGTTGCTAACTTTTCTTCAACACTGGAAATAAAATTATTATCGGACATTTTACTCCATACTAAGTAAAATATAAATATAAAATTATACTTGTCGCATGTCAGCGCAGTCAGCGTCTACCACACCACGTTCGTTGCGTGTGAGATCAAAGTAATGTGGTATAATAACCTGAATATTATAATATTGTAATTAAAATTCCATATTTGTCAATAGCTGTAATACTATCAATTGCAATTTATCCATAAAATAAAATGTTGAATATGATTAGAAATAAACAAATCAAGGATAATAAGAAAGATATTGCAAGTAATTTGCAAAAGATATCAGATATCAATTTGTGAACTAATAGTATTATTTTAAAACTCAAGGAAAAGATAGATTAAATGAAACCTGATTAGGTTTTAATTTTTGAATTGCCTTAGCAACTCGATCCAGTTGATATGATGTGTAGAAGAAGCGCATATCAATGGTGGAGAACAATGAACCTGTTGGACCTCCAATCAGAGTTGACAGTATTTCTGAATATCCAATATCATTACCGCCAATTGACATCATCAACAAATCTGGACCGGTACCTCTGAAATTTAAATCTAACTTTTGCTTATTTTTTGTAATTACAAAAACTTTAATATACGATTAATTCATTTCTGCTTGTTGCATTGCAAATATTTCAATTGTCTAAATTTCTGAAACAGTTCTGAACACAAAAAATGAATCAATGAAGGATTAAACTTTATCTGAAACAATTGCTACACTGAACCAAAATCTTTATGAAATTTTGTTAAAATTTTCAAGGAATAAACAAATGGTTAAAAGACTCAATTCATTAACAAAATATAAAACATAAGCCTAAAAGTCGGAACAATTAAATATTAATATTGCAAATTTTCTATCATAATAATCCTTCAAAATTATCGAAATTAAATTTGAGAAGCAAAAAATTATTTTTCAAATTATTAAATATGCAAAATAAAATGTAATAAACTAATTACAGTAATTGTTTGGATTCTTTCTTTTCAAACACTTAAATTATTAAAAAAATAAAAAAGTGTTTTGGTAACCTTATACGTGTAATCTGTTCTAACACGTTGATTTGTGATGTATTATTAGAGAAAACTAAAATTCCATTATCAACAGACGCGCCGGTACACGGTAAGTAGGTGAAATGTATCGCACTGTCTTTTACGATCGTATCACTCACCCATTCGTATACCTTATAGGCCCAAGATCGTGAACTTCGATGACATCGATCTATATCATAATTAGTTATTAACTTATTCATTCTTTCTATTTAATATTTTAATTTTGAATACTTAAAAAAAATTAGATAGAAGTTGATTCCATTTTTTTTGATTTTCATGCTTAATATAGTTGTATTTCTGTTCACTCCAATTTCTCTTTCTAATTCATCCCTTTAATTTGATACATGGAATGATACACTAATGAGATATGGAGGCGTAGCATTTTCCTCGTTATTATTTATGATTTTTTTTTGTTCCATTGACTGTCAGGAAGGAGACAATAATGATTGGTCGAGGAAAATTCTTCTTTTAAAACTTAAATCTTTCTTCTTCTTCTTTTTCCCTTTTCATTTTCTCATGCAGCGATACTTCTTTAGAGAGCCGTCTTTTACTGCGAAAATTAATAATATTTGAATATTTGTGATTTTGCTTTTTCCAGGCAAAATATTTAATCCCTGAAAAACTGGAACAAATTCATGTTTTTTGGGGGAATAATTAAGAAAATTTTTCGGCAAATTGGTGACAAAAATTTTTCTGTGACCTCAGAATTTCTTTTCTATATTATTTCAATCCTTTGATGTTACCGCAATTTACTATTTCTTTTTATCAAGTATGCATCATTTCATCCGATCTGATACGGTCACTAAAGTCATTCCCAACTGTATCCAAGCAATTATTACATGTAGCCTGGGAGAAGTTCAAATTTAAGCACTAGCTTGGGATGTATTAAAATGAATGGTTCAAAGGAGCCGACGCTTAATCGTTTTTCTAAATACCATAATAATGATTATTATTATTCAAGAGAAACAATAAGTTTCCGCTTAAAATAAAATGCTATCCGGTGGGGATAGTAAGGTGACAATAAAATTTAGTCGTTGAAGAGATTAAAATTCAGCACAAATGCAAATTTCATTATCTGCGCATGCTCTATCAAATATTGTTACAATTTATCCGAAGAATAGCATTCACTTGATCTCTCAAATATCAAATAAACTAGGAGAAATTGAAATGAAAGCCTTTTTCCCATTAATCCTCGTGAGATTTCAATCTCTTGCATTCACTTCTTTTTTTCTTATGATATTAAAGTTTCATTGTTCAATTGAACTTCCTGTTGTGGTCATTTATATTCAAGTGTAAAATATTTTCGAAAATTTCAAAAAAATATACGAACTCGAAAGCCATTTTGCCATTGTTTTTTTAAGTGCATTAACCGGAACATCCGGATTACCCTCTCCTGAAGCAAATGAATCGCCAATTACTCCAATCCAGTAGTCACGAATTCTGATTCTCACTTCTCCATGGAGAATTTTATCATCCATAAATTTTACTAACACCTTCACGATGTATCTTGTCTGCAAAATATGATTATTTCAAAATAATAATGAAACATTAAATAAACAAACAAAAAATACTTTTTGAATATTTTGATAGGATGAAAAATATCAAAAGAGAAAGCAATATATAGTAACTTGTTCTGGTGCCAGCCAAGATGTTTGACATTCCTGTGTTGTCCAATAAAAGTGTTGCCCATTGTATTGTTCCGAAATTGTCCATTCAAAATTTTGGATCGTTCTATTCTGCCATGTTCGCAATAAACTTGAACAAGCTGACAAATGCACCAAACCATAATGTTTCCGAAAATCGGTAGCCGAATTTGCAAAAATACCACTTCTTCCAATAGATTTTATCTTTCCAGGTCTATTCCATTTAATTTCAACAAATTCTTCCAAAGATGAATTAGTCTAAAATAATTTGATTTGGATGCTAACAGAAATTAGGCCTTATTAAAGCAAATTTTAATTTTAAAAAAGAAATAATGTAAAAGTTTATGTTATTCTGGATAATAAATTTTGTATAAATAGTTTTTAGTATAATCCTATTGATTGTAAACATATGATAGGCACGCCGGAAAAATTAACCAGGAAAATTGCTCATTCTTCAGCGAGATGAATCCTTCCGGATTGCATTTAATGTTATGAATTGCATATTCCATTCATTTTAAGAAGGAATTATTTAGTGCTCAAAAAAGGTTAAATAGATATTAAGACACCTGAATGACCACATAAAAGGTCATTTGTCTATTATAACGAAAGATCACAATTATGGTTTTAAACAGTGTAAAATTAATCATCATCATTTCGTCATAATATTAGCAAAATTTGATGAATGATATTTGAAACACATGTTCGAAATAGAATGCTAATGCGAAATTAGAAATTTCTAAAAAATTCCCACAAAATTTTGCGTGAAAATTAAAAACAAAAAGCTAATGATACTAAAAATTAAAGAGAAGAATAACAACAAAACCTTTGAAATGAAATAGATCGAAATTAAATTCGATGATTTTATGAAATATCTTATAGTCAAAGAGGAGCCGAAATGATTTCGAAATGAAATACAAAAGAAAATATAATTAATTAAAAAATGCTTTCTAACACTCATTGTTGTGAGATATTAAGTTGTTAAATGCTTTTTTTAGATTTCACTGTCTGTAAAAAATTTGTGAAAAGTTAATTTTTTAAGAAAAGTTAAATTCTCAGAATAAATTAATGACAAATAAGAAAAAAGAACAAATTAAAAAAATCATACCGAATGATTGAAAATATAGACGACAAGTTTTGGCCAATTATTAATGAGATGAAAGAAAAATACGAAAAGTGATGGCGCAAATGATGCCATAAGCGCATTCACGATACAACCGTTACAGATGTTAAAATGAATAATGTTCAAATTCCTGAAGAATAACTAGAACGATCTGCAAATTTTCCGCTGCTTCTTATTTCTCGAGAATTTAACTATCAGATTTTAAATTCTTTGATCACTCATTCCAATTCAATCTAAACACACTTTCAGAAAGTGTTTCTTAAAATTTCCAAAAACCTGGTATTCTTGCTCTAAGTATCATAATTGAAAGGCAGAAATTTATATACCACAATTAACCAATGCTATCCATTCCGGATGATCCTTCCTGAATATAAAACCTTAATACTGTAGATTGATATAACAGCGCAACATAACCCCTTTCGTGCTCAAACGAATTGACTAAGGTTTGCACTCCGCTCGTCATGTATATTCCCACTCTGCTTCACGATTTCTTCAGGATTTCGGAATCTGAAAAGTTGTCGGTAACATCAAAGAACCACCATAGCAAACCCTCCCTCAAATTTTTCCTCTAAATTACCACTTCATACGTCTGTGCCTCTTAAATTTCATACACCCTGAATAATCCTTTCATTCTTTGATCATTGTTGAACAGACACGAGCGTTTTTGCGGCATCTGCTTTTTTTTCTTAACATATTTGTATCTTTACCGCCACTGTGCTAACAACATCTTTTGTCTTCAGTTAATGTGGCGATATGCAAATTGAGCATGAAAATTAGCTATGCTATTATCCATTGAATTACACATCTAATGTGGGAACTCGAAAAAATCGATAATAATCTCTAAATAATAAAAATCTAGAGGAGGAAGAAGACGATATCAGTGATGATCCCTCTATCAGTGATATTTAATGATAATAGGACAAATATTGATGATTAATAACTATAAAATTCTCATGTCTCCTCTTCCTCAACAACATCAATAATACACAGAAAATCCATTGATGCATAATATATATATTTAATAGAACTAATTTAACTAAGCCAAACACTATTCAAAATATCAAAGGAATTTGCCGCCATGTTGACTATGATTTCTGCAAGAATTGATTAGTTTAGTTTTGGAGGATTCAACAATTTCAATGAGAGTAAGTAAAAACAAAGAAAATTGTCATTTCTCTCTTCCATTTGCCTTTTTCCCTCTCCAGCGATTAATTTTATTCAAATGTAAGAATGAATATTTTATTATCACTTTCTCACTTACCTTTACTCACCTTTATTAGGAAAATAAAAAAGGTAATGTGAAATTGCTTTTTTTGGGAGATTGAAAAGAGGGAAAATAATATTGTCGTAGAAAAGTTTATTATCTTTTCATCTCAGATAGGGTCAAATCGATAAATGATTCTTTTACTTATTGTAAGCTATTTGGTGGATATTTGTTCGATTTTAAAACTTTTCAATACCATACTTTAGCTTTCGTTTAAATAGTATTTAACTTAAATTATAATTAAAATTGTTTCAACTTTTAAGTTTAATTATATCAATCAATTAATCAATCAATCAAACGTATGAATTATTTTATTTAAAATAAATCATCGTATTTATTTGATATTTAAGCCTTTAAAGGAAATAGAAATAGAATCTATCAATTCAAAATAAAAATAGTAATTTTTTTAATGCAAAAATTTGCCTGATCAATTTTAGAATATAATAATATTGATAAGAAAAGTTAGAAGCATTCAAATGAAAAGCTTCTTTTCAAATGGATAATTTGCGCAAAGATTTCAAAATAGATGATGATGGCGGTGGCGGTGGTGATGGCGTGGGCGGTGGCGGTGGCGGGGGCGGTGGCGGTGGCGGTGGCGGTGATAATAATTAATCCATAAAATTACTATTGGTGGGAAAAATATGATATTAAAAGTGGAGAAAAATGAAGATTTTGTGATATCATCAAGGATGAATCGATGCTTGAAATATAGCATTTTCACACTTATTTATCTCTTTCTCCTAATTTCTGTCGCTTTGTTGACACTTGGTCTCTGAGCTAAATTTGATGTATTGTTCAATTTGAAGAAATTTGATCCCAAGAATATTGTTCCTTTCTTTGAACCAACAATTCTTATCATTGTTATCACTATCATTATCATAATAATTAGCTTCTGTGGAGCTGTTAGTTACTTTTATTGCCAACAATTCATAAAAAATAAGCGAATAGTAAGAGATTTTTTTCTAGAACCTTCCTTTTTTTTGTGAAATATTTAAAATGAGTGACGAAAAAAAGATTAGAATAAGTAAGTCAATTATTAACTTAGAATTTGTTTCATTTTCTTGCGAAAGTATCACAATGATACTTAGCATTTAACAACGATTTAATTCTTAAGAAATCTACTTATCACTGATTAACTTAATTCTAAGTTGGCAAGTTAAATATTTCCAATTGAAACCATTTACAATATATCTCAGGAAGTTTACGAGACAATTGTTTCTATTTGATGATTTATATATGCATGTTAAGTTGTATTATAATGACTTATCTTACGTTAATTACAATAGCAATATTCAATGATCGTGCATTCTTGTATGTAATAACAATCGAAGATACCATTATATTAACAATCGATGATACCATTATACTATATTGAAATGAATCAGATTTGAAATTATGAGTTGATTGGATACAAATTAATTTTAAATGTTGTAATGCATTATCATCTCATGATTGGAATAATAATATCTGTTTTAGGTATCGATATATAATAATTCCTTGAGAATTTTTTATCATTTTATGATATTAATAATTGTTTAATCATTTAAACACAAAAACTAAAATAAATTTATCACAATAATATTTTTTCTAACGATGTCTTTTATTACAAAGATATGTATGATAAATACTAAAATTAAAAATTTTAGATCCTTATCCTTCTTAAAATTTCATTTGTCACTCAATAAAATTGTATTGCAAAAAATTTAAAATAACTTTTCTTCAATTTTTTTAAGCTTTGAAATTTCAGTAATATAGTAAAAAAATGGTTCATTAGAAGCTGGTGGTATACCATTTTCGTTTTGTTATAAAGTAAAAGAATACATGGAAATTAATTGGTATACAAACAGCAATTTCACCGTTATATCCTAGGATAGATTAGGTAAGCCAGCTTACCCAGCTTATTATATAATTAACTAATTAGTTATATCAAAGCTTTAAATCTAACATCGGTCAAGGATGCAGTTGCTTGATTTTTCATATGATACATATGACATGCTTTTAAATTATGCAGAATCTCTCATATTCGCAATACTTTATATTTCCGCTCGATTATTTGTATCGGAAATTCAACTTAAATTCCAAATAATAATTAAATGAATGCTTTCCATATGAACAAAACAGTTATACAATCACTTTTGTATTATCGTCGATCATATAATAAAAATAAAAAGCATAAATTAAGAAGAAATTTTATACAATAACGGATCATTGATATTGCAACATTGCTGAAAAAGTAATATCATAGAAGAATTTGATAAGATCACAAGATAATATTAATAACAGAATAAAAAGCAAAAATTTTAGCCTTAGTTTTTCATTTTCTTTCACAATTGTAACAACACTATTTAGAAGAGTTTTTTGTAATCGCAATGACGGCAAATTCTATGGAAATCGACAATGTTAATTGTATTAGAATTCGCGAAATCTGAATAAATAATATGTTTAATTCACCTGCAAATGCACTGCAGCAACGAATGGGAAACCCTTTCCAATCTTCCTTTTCTCTGTTCCATTT